AAAGATAAACATTTACAGATTCAGGGGAATTCTTTTAACTTCTGATTTTCATGATTATTGTGATTCCTCCACAATATAGTCTTTGAAACATCCCTTTTTCCCACTATACTTCTCATTATTTTTCCTTCCAAATATGTAATTTACCTAATAAAATATTTCAAAGTAGACTTAACTATAGTCTCACAAAAGTTTTTGGGCAAGAATGTCTGAGACATGAGTCAGATTGTGGTTATAGAACAAGTAAGGGGGGACCCAAAGACCAGATGTCTGAGAAAAAAAAAATGTTCATGGAAACCCAATAAATATATGTTGGTTACTGTATTTGTGTCACATGATCATATCAACCCCCTACTTAAATATTTCATTGACTTCAATGTGAAGAACTCCAGAATTAATTATACTAGGTTCTCCATTGGTCAATGTCATTTTACGCTTCTGGTCTCTGAATTTCTGTATCTTAGTGTTTTCATTTGGAATTATTCATGGACTACCCTGATTATGGTTTTTTATCAGTGGTTACTTCTCTTATGCATATTACCTGACTCCTTTACTAGATTATATGGTCCTTAAGGGAAAGTATATATCTCATTGTATCTTCAGAAATATGCACTATAAATGTTCACAATTGAGTAAATTTTGCATGGCATCACAAGTTTCCAACAATTTAAACGTAATAGAAAAATTCAGAAAGATTTACTCCTTTGTGTGGCCATCAAGATGATATAGTTAATATCTGCATATAGAACTTAATTCATCCAAATGGTTCTACCCAGAATGCTACTATCTGAGCCCTTGGATATGTAATTTTTTTTTTTTTTTGGATATGTAATTTTTATTTATTTATTTTTTTTTAATTTTTTTTTCAACGTTTTTTATTTTATTTTTTTGGGACAGAGAGAGACAGAGCATGAACAGGGGAGGGGCAGAGAGAGAGGGAGACACAGAATCGGAAACAGGCTCCAGGCTCCGAGCCATCAGCCCAGAGCCCGACGCTGGGCTGGAACTCACGGACCGCGAGATGGTGACCTGGCTGAAGTCGGACTCTTAACCGACTGCGCCACCCAGGCGCCCCATGGATATGTAATTTTTAACAGCATGTCCCATGCTTGCTTGGGTATGTCTTGCTCTGGGATTATTCAGCTATTCCAGGTATGCATGGTTCTCTACTCAACTGGTGGGGGTGGAGTATAGGAGAGGCAAGAAAGGATATTTTGGAAAGAATGCTAGACAGGCAGTTAGAAGACTCAAATTTAATTCCTAACCTTGTATAAACTGCTGTTTGTGGTGGCCTTTATGATGCCTCTTCATGCTCCCCTATAATCCTGCTTCTTACTTGTTGAGGAAAGGATATCTACTAAAAGCTGCTTCCATCAGTCACCCCTGTGATGACTGGGAAACACTTAATTGGTCCACCATGTGAAGGTTTGGGAGGGGTGACTGATGCAGAAACAAATATAGTGGCTCTAAGATCAAACATAAGTTACCCTATCTGTGCATTGATTTTGTAATCAGTAAAGTTCTCTAATTTGGGTCAGCTCATCTCCAGAGTCCTCCCCCCACCCCCGACCTTGCTCAGATTTCCTTGTTTCAAGATGCATAAGACATGAGAAAAGTGCTTAGAAGAAACAGACACCGTTTAAAGTTATAGGTTGCATTCTTTACTCTTCACTATTGGGGAAGACATTTTCCTTTGTAAATTCCCCTGCGTTATTCCCCTGAATTAAACCTCCACTCAGTCTGTGGGCTCCAGTGTCCGTGAAAAATAAAGTGTTGTAAAGGTCATATTTCCCCCAATTGGGTCTGATATCCTGGAGGTACCAGAAGATTAAGGTGCTACATGGATTATTGTATTTAGTAGCATTGAATCATTTGGTGAGAAGGTTTTCAAGCTTTTTGTATTCTTTGTGGATCAGTGAAAATGTTTCATCTTCATATTACTGTGACTTAAATAACTTGTTACTCTTCCTTTCTATCACAGAGAAATGAGACCAGAGACTCAGAGTCTAAATAAACACAATATCTAGAAGTTAGTAATGTTACCTTTATTTTTATTGTATTTATGTTCATGATTACCTTCTATTAGGAGCATCTAATCCTGATTTTTCTTTTATAGCAGTGATAAGAAAATTTTCATTAAAAAATATGTTTGTATGTTATAAAAAGTGAGTCTGCTTTTTTAAAGTTTTTATTTAAATTCTAATTTGTTAACATATAATGTAATAATTAGTTTCAGGAGTAGAAATTAGTGATTCATTACTTAACATATAACACCCAGTGCTCAGTAAGTGACTCTGTTTAAAGAAAGCTTACTATGCATGACTGGACAAAAAACTATGAACATAATTACATAAGGAGGTTTGGAAGAAATTGAATACTTCAGTAAGGGTCCCAGAAGGAAACTGATAACTTGGCCAGTGGGTTTTGCTAAAGAGAGTTTGGTGAAGAGACAGTGTACAAGGTATGGAGACGGTTAAGGAAACCAAACCAACAAGGGATGGGGAGCACCGATGGCGGGCGACAGTGAGAAGCTGTTAGCTCTCCTGATCTGAAGAGTCATGGGAAGTGATAGTGCTGCGGGAGCGTGGGAGAAGCATATGAGCCGCTTAAGAGTGCCCACGTACAGCACAGCCATTGCTCCCAACTGGAGACCCTAAAAAAGATGGGGTTGGAGGACATGTACCTGTCTTCTCTCTTCCTGCCCCCTGATCCTCTCATCTTGTAAGTGCCTCCCATTGATTGAACCCGCCCAGGAATAAGAGAACAAAGCAGCCCCAGTGATGGGGTCCACAGAATTCTGCCTCATGGGGCACAAAGTACAAAGTAGGGCATAGAGGGAAGAGAGTCAATTGAGGCCATCAGGAAGGGGCAAGCCGAGAATAACTAGCTCATAGAAAGCATCAGGGTTTTCTGCTAGAGCTGATACTTAATGAGTCCAGTTATGCCAGTCTGCTACCTGCACAGCTTTAGTTCAATACTCACATATATGTGGGCATACTTTTCAAAGTACTTAACAACTGGTACAACTTGGGCTCTGACCGATCAGAGCAGATGCCATAAACCTCTTGCTGAATAGACGTAAACCCCTAGTCTCTGGATTAGGGGAGATAGGAGGGGGCACACTAGACAGGGGCTGGGGCAGGGAGGGTTGGGCTGAGGGGCACTTGGTTCAGGGTTCACAGCATTTGAAAATATTAAAAGGCTGTACAGCCTACTTGTCTATGCAGGCTGAGAACCATCCCTCTTTGCGTCTGAGAAGTGAGAGCAGAACTCTTCCACTGATCTTGTAAGATAATTGGTTGATGTGTCCATGTTCTTCTATGTGACCTGTAAAAAGGAGCACAGATTAAAAGTCTTATCTTACTCCTGAGTCTTTGTACCTTTCTAATGGCACTTGGACCTTGTCTTGCACTCTCATTATTTGTGAACTTACTCTCTTAAATGGGTTTTATGCTCCTTCCAAAAAAGTATTGTATTTTTCCACATATATCCTGCTATATCTCCTACAGTTCCTTAAACATGGTAAATGCTCAGTATCTATTATTTTATGGAAATAATTCCCTTGCTATTCATTGTAGTCATCCTGAAAAGAAGAGAGAACTCAACTTTCCAAGATCCTTCAATTCCAAACATGGGTTTGGCGGTGTGGGGGTATCTTTTTTGTTCTTTGTCACCCACCAGAGCCAATGATCCTGTGCTATGAAATGGTGACAACAGAGTTGTCACTGGGTTTCTGCATTCTCTCTACCTTTATTCCACTTTTTAAAAATGATTCATTTTGTGAAGCTATATATGGAAATGAAATACAAAATTTATGGAGTTTAATGTTCAAAACTCATCAACATCACATTAATGTCTTTGCAATAAGAATCGCTTCCTGAAAATTTTGTTATTTCTGTGTTACTTGTAAAGATGTTAAGAATTCAATGTATTTTTTGTTATAATCATATAAAAACTTAAGTATTATTATAGATTTGGACAACTATGTGGAAAATACTTCAGAGAAAGCCTAGATGGGCAAGCAATTTAATTTAAAATTTTTAGCATTATTAGATTCAACATTTAATTGCCATGTTTTTGGTATCCATTTTGGAACGAATTTGGTATGACATCGCATTTTCTTGTTATTCGGTTTTCTGATCTCTATTACCATTTATAGTAGGTATATTTTGCAATATTTTTGTGTGTACCATGTTACCATGGATTACTTTCCTATAAAGGAGTTGCTTTATTACTTAAAGTGAAGGTTCTTATAAATTAGACCTCTTGATATGCACTTGCCTTGTTAACATATGTTCTTTGCCATAACTATACTCTCGCTCAAAAAATATAACATTTTTTTTTCTTACGTGGAAATGAAAACATGAAACTGTGTGAACTCTCTTCACTTCTCAAGTATAGCTTTATAGTTTCTTGCATTGTGAAGACTTGAGTCACTGGCTCATCTCATATGCTAATTATTTATGGCCTTTTTATAGCCATTTAAAAAATAGGTTTTAGCAAGCTAAAAGCTGGGGGGGGGGGACGGGGGGACGGAATCTTCAAAATAATCTAAATTTGGCCCCAAACCTAAATATGTCTTACCCTAAGCCAGTTAAATTGCTTTGTTTTTGTTTTGCTGCGTCTTGCCTTTATAAAAATTATTATTTGGAAATACAAGAGTTAAGGTTTTCCATATTAAAAGTGGTAATTACACACTGCTTTTTTAATTTTATTCTTATATAAAATATTAATAACACTGAATTTTTTACAGAAATGTTTTTGTTTATAGCAGTTAACTTTATTTACGTATTCATGTATTGATGACTAATGCTGATTTTCTTTACTATAAATCCATAGTAGATATCAAAATGATTAATCATGGTCATTTTCTCTGCATAATGACAAATATATGTAACCAACATATGCTTAGACATACTCTAAGGACATCCCTTTACCGGATCTGAATGTCAAATAGAGAGCTTTAACTATTTCCCCTTTTCTCTCTGTGTTGGTGTTTTCAGGTGATGATGAAGGAGTCCAGGAGACAGCAGAATCAGATGGGGACACACAGTCAGAAAAGCCAGGCCAGCCTGGAGTTGAGACAGATGATTGGGATGGACCAGGTAGGACAGAAAATTTAAAATTCAACCGGTTGTTGCTACTATCAGGAATTCACTTTTTTCCTCTTAAATTTTAATTAGGTTGTAAAACTCTTACAATCTCAGCTCATGTATGTATGTATGTATATACATGTATACGTATATATAATAAATATATATATATACGTATACATATATATATTTGTGTGTGAATGGAGGTTACATGGGAGTTTAAGTAAACATTATTTAAAGAAGATTTTTATCTTTCTGTTAAATAAACTAGAAAAACCAGTGTTTCTTCTGCTTAAAATCTCCATTTTTTTCTCACTCCACAGTCACATAAGAATTACTTCATTCTACTTGCCTTTTTGGGTTTCTTTTGAACAAAAATCTTGATGCTATATCTACATTCAATTTGGGAATAATTTTAACACATTTAAACAAGTAACAGTAATAGTATAAAGAAATATTTTTAATTTAGTCATTGTAAATTGTAGATTAAATCTCAATATATATTTAGAAGTTTAGAAAATATTAACGGATACTCCTATTTGATTCAAGGTTTTGGCAACATTTTCATGAATGAAAATTTAATTTGATTTTAAAAATCCTGATATTTAATCATTTCAAGAAAAAAAATGATGAAAATACTCCTAAACACCAACATAATTTTATGTAAATATATACAGTTCATAAGAACTCACTAAAAAAAAAACTCTTTATATTTAGTGCCAAGTAATTTACAATTGATGGTATATTTATAAATGGAGACTATTATGTCATAGGACTTAAAGATATAAGCGAGGTTTTGAAATAGTTTTAGCCATAATTTCTAAAGCAGTAACATTTTTCATTAAGAAAGATCCCTATATTTCAATCACATTTTCACCCTTGCATGACTTTGCAAATTGCTCTCTGCTGTGCGTGAAGAAGAGAAGGACTCCAGTGGTAATTTTCTGAAACCAGCAGCTGGAAAATATAATGCAAACAAAAATGAAGATGCAGTATAGCTGATTATTATGATGTCATTTCTAATGTTATTCATGATACACACAAATGTTTGTATTCTGTATACATACAACATAATGGTTATACAAGATTTTGGATCAAAATGTGTTATATTTAAAGTGCCATTATATCACTTTTTAAGGGTTTGGAAGAAGTTGTAGACTTCTGGCATTTTCCCCTTATAGCATAATGTTTCTGTCTTCTCGGTAGAGGAAAGAATTCCTTGGATTACAATTTAAAAAAATCTTTGGAAAATTTCATTTTTTTTTCTTGAGGATTACATTTAATTTCAAAAGGATAGATGAAGTTTGTATTGTGCTGTTTTTTATTCATGGAATTAGGCATATGTGTGCTGCTTAGAGTTTTTACATTTAAAATTAATTAGATTTAATGGCCTTTTGGATATGCCTACTTACAAAGTGTACATTCTGGCTGCTCTTTCGATGGTGGAAACTTGGAGGGGGCAGATTTTCTTCTTTCTGATGGTCTGGGGCCCACTGTATTCCCTGTGGCTTGGGAGTATGTAAGCACATTCACGCAGTAGTAAATTATTAAACACATGGGCATACCCAATGCCGCCTTTTTCGGGAAGCTTTTCCGGAAGTAAACTAGTCTTATTAACTTAGAGACAGAGAGAGAGGAGCAAGGTAAAGAATGATGTGTCATCCAGGATGAGATGTTTCACTGTTGAGTTAAATTTCTTTTATGTATCTGATTTAATGAATTATTTAGTTGTTATAGTGAACATGTTTATGCTCTTTTCTTTGGCACACTTGAATATGTAAAAACTTTAGGGGCGCCTGGGTGGCTCAGTTGGTTGAGCATACAACTTCAGCTCAGGTCATGATCTCACGGTTTGTGAATTCAAGCCCTGCTTTGGGCTGTGTGCTGACAACTCAGAGCCTGGAGCCTGCTTCTGATTCTTTGTCTTCCTCTCTCTCTGCCCCTCAGCCGCTTGTGCTGTGTTGTTCTCTGTCTCTCTCTCTTTCAAAAATAAATAAACGTTAAAAAAAAAAAAACTTTAAAGGAAAAAGGTATGTATCTAAGCAGATGTACCTATAAGAAAGTTCTTTTTTGTTTGTTTGTTGCAAAATTGATAACAGATTTTTCCCTTCAGGTATTTTACCAAAAAAGAGGGGGTTAATTATTTTGAAACCCCTAAATTAATGAAGTTGATTCATAACAAAAGGATATCTGTTGGATATGCATTTTAAGGTAGAAATTTCATTACTTTTCCTTCAATCAGGACAAAGTATAGGGGATGTTTTTGCACTTTTGCTCTCGTATAATAGCGATTATATCAATATTTCACCCTGATTTTTGTTATTTGCAAAACGGTGTTGGTACTTTCCAAGTGTATAAAGGGAAGAAAATCGTCCAAGTTTTAGTGACGGATTCCAAACAGTTAGAAATTGTGTTCTGTATTCTAAGGTTCAAATTCTGGATTTGCCACTTATTTGCTGGGTGATTTTTGTCAAGTTGCTTGCTTTCTCTGTTCCTATATTGCCATTTGTAAAATGTAGAAAATGACATTCACACTTCATAGGGATTCTGTGAGAATTAGGTCCTACACATAAAATATTACTGATCATTATAAAGGCTTTTGAATTGTCGAGTCTTGAAGCAGAACCATTTAAAATTCTCAGCATTTTTTTTAAAGCCCAGTAATATATCTGATACAACTTTAAAAATACTAAACATCTAGTTTTGAATTTAACTGCAAATAATTGGTCAAGACGTGAGGTAATGAGCCAGGTGTGATTTTAAGGTCTCCTAATTTTAAAATCCTCCCACCCAGTCCTCGGCATCAACCTAAGATAGACAGCTTCAACCTAAGATAGACAGCTTTCTCTAAATAAAAATAGAGCAGAATCAAAGACAAGGAAAATGATCTAAAGAATTAGAGGCATAGAGCTGACATCATTTAAGATAGATCAGGATTTATATATATATTTTTTAAAGAGTTTGATTGAAGTCCACTCCACAACCTTTCCCGATGGCTCACTTCAGTAATGTATCAACTCTTCTGAAGTGTTCTATTTTTATCATATGCAAATCCCCCAGTGCCAATTTTTTGTTCTCTTACTTGTTATTCAACTAAAAGGTACATTTAGTAATTGCTCACACCTTTGTTAACTCTTATGATTAGGCGGAACCTAAATAGTCTTTAGAAAAATTATCTTACATTTGTAAACATTTCTATGGTGACATTTTTTAATGTTTAAATATTTGTGACACTTAAATATTCTTCACATTTTTATGAATCTTTCTCTGTTGGAAGGGAGAGCTAGACCCACACTAAGCTTGTAAGGTTCAGGCCAATGTAAACGTCATTACCTCATTATTTCCATATCTCAAGGAACTGTTTTTAAGTTTTACTTTTCTTTCTTGCTCTTAAAAAAAAATTACCCTGATACTACCTTGCTGAGAACCTAATTGATATGATACTTGGTCTCTACTGTCTCCTCATCTGCATTTGCCTGTTACCCTGATACTACCTTGCTGAGAACCTAATTGATATGATACCTGGTCTCTACTGTCTCCTCATCTGCATTTGCCTGTACTTCATATATCATTTCTCTCTCCTTTCTAAATAAATACTCTTCTTCCTGTCATCACCCTTGTAAGTACTTCAGTTTACCAATAGTCTTATACATTTAATTATTCAATAAATAATTATTATGCACTAATAATCATGAAAGGTGTAGGGAGAAGTCCAAAGGTATAGTATGATGCCATCCATATTTCTTTTGGATGCCATTTCTCTTCTTTAATCTTTTAAAATTATCTGTGCGTTGTGTTTAGGTGACTGATGCAACTAATATTTAAGCATGTGAACCTAGAAGGTAGAGAATGGTTTCAACTACGGAAGAAACTGAACAAATTCTAGAGTCAGATCTGTGTTTGAGTTCACATGCTGACAGTTAACAGTCTTGTGACCTTAGGCATATGAAATAGCCCAGGCCTTGGTTTGCTTACCTTTAAAGTGGGAATAATAATAGCTACCTTGAAACATTGTTATGTGGATGAAATATGAAAGAAATGATGTGTAGAAAGTGTCCAGCGGACAGCTTGGGAGAGGGTGGGATTTGCTTGATGTTAATGGTCTTCTCTTACCATAGAACCTTTCACACCAACCAACAGTTAGAATATGGACCTTATTTTGAAATAGGATTTACATCTTTGGCTCTCGCTTATTTTAAGAAATCTTTAGAACCACAATCTATGGCCAAAGTCTTGGGTTCTGACTTCTGTATTTAGATTCAGAAGGAGACTCAGGGGAGAAAATTCAGATAAATCACTATAAATTCATCATCTACCTCTATGAAATGAACACCTCAAAAGTCACATCTTATATCAACTCTAAGAATACCAGTTCTCTAGTTTATATTGTTAAAAACATGGTTACCTCTTTTGCACTTGGGAATAGTGAATAATCTGATTTCTCTGGTTTAATATTGAATGTATCTAAGTCCTACCATTAGGCTTACAACTACTATAATTGAAATTTCCAGGAGCTTTAGTAAATGAACATATCACACTACTCAAATTGTGCAAATAATGTATCTCAAGAAATATATATCAATGAAAGTATGCACAGATATAATTTTGATCAAGCAGTCCCTTAGATTCTTTGACACACCCTTGTCAAGAAAAACATGCGCTTTTATTTTCATATTTACATGTTAAGTGCTTGAGATGTTTCAATAAAAATAAAGTACAGGGCGCCTGGGTGGCTTAGTTGGTTGAGCATTTGACTTTGGCTCTGGTCATGATCTCATGGTTTGTGGGTTCAAGTCAGGCTCTGTACTAACAGCTCAGAGTCTGGAGCCTGCTTCGGATTCTGTGTCTCCCTGTCTCTGTATCCCTCCCCTGCTTGTGCTCTGTCTCTCTTTGCCTCTCAAAAATACATAAATGTTACAAAAACTTTTTAAAAATAAAGTAGAAAATCACACCTTGTATTGAAGATTTGATGAATTACTAGAATAAAATTCGGATTTTTTTTGTTTTGTATT